CTCTCTCCCTCTCTCTCCCTCTCTCCCACCCTCCCTCCCTCCCTCCCTCCCTCCTTCCCTCCCTTCATCTCTCCCTAAAAATCAATGGGGCCCAGCTGGTGTGGCTCAGTGGTTGAGTGTCAACCTAGGAACCAGGAGGTCATGGTTCGATTCCCAGTCAGGACACATGCCCGGGTTGCGGGCTCGATCCCTAGTGCGGGGCCTGCAGAAAGCAGTCAATCCATGAGGTTCCTCTCTCATTGATCTTTCTATCTCTCTATCCCTCTCCCTTCCTCCCTCTCAAAAAAAAAATCAATGGGAAAAATAACCTCTGGTGAGGATTAACAACAACAACAAAAAAAACTAAAAAGTAATAATAATGCGAGGGCATATTACAGCTGATAGTGTCAGCATAATGTCATAATTTAATTGTCACCCCCCTTTTTAAAAAATTCTCATCCAAGGATATTTTTTTCTATTGCTTTTTAGAGAAGTGGGAGGGAGGGAGAGAGAGAAAGAGAGAAACATTGATGTGAGAGAGACACAACAATTGGTTGCCGGGGATTGGGAACCGAATCTGCAACCCAGATATGTGCTCACGACCGGGGATTGAACCAGAGATCCTCTGGTGCTTGGGGGCCGACGCTCTAACCACTTAGCTACCACCCAGGGCAATCAGCACCCCTCTTTTCTTTCTTACTGGTATCCTCCTATATAATAAAAGGCTAATAGGCAAATCAAAAAAAAGGCAGAATGACTGGTTGCTATGAGGTGCACTGACCACCAGGGGGCACACACTCAACGCAGGAGCTGCCCCCTGGTGGTCAGTGCACTCCCACAGGGGGAGCACTGCTCAGCCAGAAGCTCTGAGCCCAGCTCACGGCTGGCGAGTGCTCACAGCAGTGCTAAGGATGTCCAGCAGCGCTAAGAATGTCCGACTGATGGCTTATGGGCCTAAGCCGTCAGTCGGACATCTCCCGAGCGCTCCAGGACTGTGAGATGGCGCAGGCTGGGCTGAGGGACCCCCCTCTCCCTGGTGCACCGGGCCTCTAGTATGAAATAATAAAGCAAATACAACCCACAGCATGATGGCAACAAAGGGGGCTCTCAGACAAGTCACCTCTCAGGATGATCTGATCACACATTCTGAACTGGGCAGGTCACGGTGGGTGGTGAAGCCCCAGGCACACAACCTCTTTAGTGAAAGGTTTCAAGCCAGCCTTCGCCATTGTTCTTCTGCATAGACTAACACAGGCACACACTCCGGTGCCCACTTTGCTTTCTCCCACCTCCGTGCGATCTTCCTCAGTTCCCTGCTTACGTAATTCCAAATGCGTAAGAGAAACCCCAAAACGTTTATTCCCCCAAAGCATTTGAGATCTCGCTCCCTGGCACGTGTCTTCAGTTTGGCTCAAATAAAGGCTTACCAAAAAAAAAAAAAATTACTTGCAGGTTTGGATGCTTCTTATGTCGACAGCCCTTTATGTCGACATCCTTTTAGAGTTAATGAAAGAGGGTGGGAAGGAAAGTGCGTGGGTGAGGAGCCGGGCGGACGTATTAAGGAGGTGATCTCATCCCACCACACAGTGTTAATCTACCCGTGTTGCCCTTGGCTCGGCTAGTTTATTGCTTCTAACTGTCTTCTCAGCCTG